CAAGCCCCGCATTGGGCTCCCTGCTCGGCAGGGAGCCTGCTTCTCCCTCTCCCACTCCCCCTGCTTGTGTTCCTGCTCTCACTATCTCTCTCTCTCTGTCAAATAAATAAAATCTTAAAATAAAATAAAATAAAATAAAATTTATAAAGTAACCATAGTTAGAGCTGCCTCCAAATGAGAGTGGTGGTGGTATACTTTGTCAATAGGAAATTAGTTATCTTTACTGATCCTTTTGTATTTCACTCACTGGTAGGAGAAGGAAAAGAGATAGAACATGCCTTTTTAAGACTTTCACCGTCATTATTATTTGTTATCAGCAGAGCAACCTCTAGAATTATGCTGGAAATCACAGAGTTTGGTTGAAGCTTTGACCTTGGATGTAATATCTGGAAACACAGATGGTACTCCTTTATTTTTTACAGATTGAAGATGATGAAAGATGAACACATTAAGCTGCTACTTTTGAGTGGACACAAGGGCTGGTCCTATCAGTGGATCTAAAGAGTCCTTCCATGCATGTCCTTCTGGAAGAACTAGTATCTCCCATGCACCTTTGGAAAGCTGGTTCACAAATTCAAGAATACAGGCAATGTGTGGGGCACACTCCTTTGTGGATGACTGTTTCGGGAAGAAGTAAAGGAAATGGTCACTGTGATCATAATGGCCAGCCTGAAAAAAGTCAGCCTACAGAGCATTCTAGAAGCTTGGGGTCCCTGACAGTACCACGTGTAAAATTCTCAACACATGTGCCTTTCGCCAGTTCAAGATGCAAATCCTGCAAAGTTTAGCCAAGGATAACCCCAGTTGTTGTTTGGAAATGTGCTCCTGGTGCTCGGGTCTCCTGGATAAAAAACACCTGCTTTTCCCAAGGTTGTTTTGAGACCACGCTACTTTTCATTTGACCAAGGAGGCCAACAAATAGTAGATACTGTGTTGGGTCAGGAGACAACTTCCACTGGACTTCAACCACCCAAACACAAGGCAAGGGTGATGGTGTGATGTGACCTCTGCAAAGCTCATGTCTTGGGGCCATTTTCTTTGAAGCTACATGTCTGAAGAGATGAATTTCATCATGTCAAATGACCTGTTAGTGCCCGCACATGACAGACTTGGGGTGGGGTGCCTGGAGCGGTTCCAACAGGCTGGCACACCACCCCAAGGGACTCGTTGGATAATTTCCAGAACCAGATTGGCTGATGGGGTTGTGTGGAGGTGACTACCAGATCAGAACTCCTTTGATTCCTTCCTCTGGTGCTTGTTAAAGGCTCAGGTTTATCCTGTGGAAATCATATACTAACTTATCTGAGGGCAGAAATCATAGATAGGAATGCAGAGATTGACACAAATGATACCTTAATGTGCCACCTCACTGCAAGATTGCACTCCTGCCAAAGCACAGCACGTTGAACATGTCATGTATCAAAAGGTAATGCAATAAACCATTCATATTTCTAGATTCTGTGAGGGCACCTTTATAAGTTCTATTACTTCACCTACAAAAATGGAGTGACCATGATATTTATTGCAGGATTTATGGCAGGATTAAATGAGATAAAACACATAAAAAATGTGCATTTAAACTTTTTTCAATCTGTATATAGTATTGTAACTAGATTTGCAACATTTACTTACACATATGGCTTTTTAATTGTTTGCAATGTCTACTGCCAGGGCTTTTCTATCCTAAACTCCATCTTCAGGTAATTCTACTTAAAGAAACATACAGGGTGGTTTACTTTTCCAACCTCTGTATGTGGGAGACTATCTTATCTTTGTTAAACTTACAACAAAAAGATACTCTTATAGAATGCAGTCACAAGGGGGCATCTTCCTCCTGTCATTACTGCCTGTCCTGTGATTAGCTAACACTGTTACAGATTTTAAAACATGACACCATTCCCAGCATACATGGAATCCAAAAAAATTTCCTGCTCTACTTCCATTTACCTGACTTAATTCCTGATGTCTCATCAATCTATTTTTCCATTTGTTTCAAGAATGTTTATAATTGTTGTGACATTTGTATGATATCTTCTTTAAAGTCTTTGTGATGTAATTCCAATTATATAGTCATAATATCTACCATCTTTTCCAATGCAAGTTGTGATTTCTTTTTTTATATGGTAATTTTTAATTGTATCCTGGATATTTTAAATATGTAATTTTTCCCCCTCAGTTTAGCTCTAGTTTCCACTTCAGTGCCTTTTGGTTGCTTCTCAGTCTTAGTTTTTGGGTATTGTGAAAGTTTATCATTTTCTGTGTCTGTCATTTATTGGGGTTAAGCCAGGGTTTCTGAGCCTTGGTGCTATGGACATGTTGGTCTGGATGATTCTTTGTGGTGGGGGCTCTCCGGTGAATTCTAGGATGTTTGGTTGCATTTCTGGCCTGTACAGTAGATAACTAGTAACACTGCTCTCCCCCCGAATATTTCCAAATTTTGCCCAATGTTCCCGGCAAAGTCAACCCCCATTAAGAACCACTACTTTAGACTAGAGAGTATAGTACGCTAGCTAGCTCTGCAGCGTAGTGCTGAGATTGGTGCTGCAGTCTTAATAATGTTCTCTACATCCCCACTGCCTTACCATGAGGATGATGAACGTAGTCCTGACTGTTAGCCCATTGCAAGTACACAATGACATATTGGCTTATGCGCTCACCCTGAGGGCATGTGTTGGAATTATCCAGGGAGCTTTAAATGTGCCTAGGCCCATGCCAAATACCTCAAAAAGCCTTCATCACTGCTTTGTGAGCATATGAGCTCACTTAGGACAATTATGATGGCCCATCCCCTCAATCACAGAGTGGGCTAAGGGATGGGCATATAACCCATGCCTGCTCTAGTGGAGTCCTTCTTTAAGGTCATGGTGGGTTTTGTTTTGATAACTTTTTAAACTTAAGGAGAAGAGTCTTTCCTTCTCGGATCATAAATCTGAAAGTAGAGACCAAATCTAACATGCAAAGAGAAGCATAAGGGAGAGAAAAATGGAAGATCTAGGTAGTTCTTGATTTCCTTTCCAAGACTTTTTGAGACCAGCTCCACCCCTGCCCTTTCCCCAGTTTAGTTATGTGAGCCAAGAAATCCCCTTTTGTTTAAATGAGGAGAAGTTGGGTGCCTATTGCTTGCAACCAAAGAGTCCTAGAGCAATTGTCTACCTCCCTGGAGTTTTGTGGAGTACACATGAGCTAGTACACATCGTAGTTGCCATGGTGCCTGGCACATTCAAGTCCTGAAATGTTAGCTCTTAATGATGTGTTTGAAATAACACAGAGTAGATAAAATTTGGAAAAACTCTCTCTTTTTTTTTAAAGTCTCAGCTCAAACAAGGTCTTGCTTATTCCCCAGGAGGATTTAGACTTTTCTCCTTCTTGCTCCCCCTTCTCCATTCCTACAGTCATCTTACTGCTTTGTAAATGTTTGCAAATTATATTCTCTTCTGATATCCTTTGAACTTCTGGAGGATTGGAACTGAGTCTTAGTCAACTTGAAAACCTCAGGATCTAACATTCTGGCATATGATAGGTGGTCAATAAATATTGTAGAAAAATAAGAGTTTGAAGAACGTTCATGATTGAAGGTGGTGATGATAGAATCAGCATTTATAGAAGACACATTATATTCTAGGCCCTGTCCTAAGAACTTTAGGTTTCTGGGAATAAGTTGTCACAGTCACCGTACCAGACTATTATTATTACTCCATTTTACAGATAAGCAAACTGATGTCAAGGTCATATAATTAGTGAGTGGCAGAGCTGAGATTTCATCCCAGGCAAACTGATTCCAGAACCCTAACATTTCAACCAATACACTGTGATATTACTCAGTGAAGGAATTCCATTAAATATAGATGGAATTAAATCATCTGATACTAGAGATAGAGGAAACTTGAAGATCATTGAATTCCATTGTGAAATAGATGCAGAAACTGATGCCAAGGATTGGAAGTAACTTAGTTTTGGTGGTTTAGTAACTGCAGGGGCCTTTCTACACAAGACTCCTGACTCCTAGCTGGAATATTTTAACCGAGGTCCTTGCCTCTAATGCAAAGTGTGCTTTTACTTTTGGGATCTTGCTTTGGAAAAACGACACCCAGGTGGCAACTTGTGTTTCACAATAGCTATGTGCCAGGTACCACTCAACGTCAAGGAAATACACCTCTATGGGTCTTGCCTTTTGAAACAGACACAAACACATGAGAAGGGACTTGAGATAAAGACCACTACTCATTCTTCAGATTCCAACACAAACGTTCTTAGAGAAGGTTTCCCTGACCTCTTCAAGGTCAAGTCTGTCTACCTAAGATCTCCTTCATAGAACTTAGCATTGAGGGCTATAATTATATATATCGTTTGTGGAATATCTGGCTAAGGGTCACCTCACTTGTTACCCTGTAAGTTCCCTGGGGACAAGATCCATGGCAATTTTTGTCCCTCATTATATTCCTGGTGTCCTGGCACATAATAGGTGCTCAAAGATATTTGTTGAATGAATGAAGGAGTGAACAAACGAGTGAATAAATAAATGCATGGATGAAGCAGCAGGACAAATCATCCCCATGCGATGCATAGGGGTAGATGCAATCCCTACATGGTGTGGTCTGAGGGGGCCCTGAAGAGTCTACACACACACACACACACACACACACACACACACACACCACTGATCAGAAATCCCCACCAGGAAAGTCAAACATCTATTTGGTGAGGGTTGTGGGGGCACCGGAGGGGGTAAAAAGAGACACAAAAGGTGAGCAAGCAGTTTTCAAAGGATGCTTTCAACTCGCTGGCCAGTCCGTGTGTGTTTTCCTCTACAAAGTGTTTCCAATTACTGTGGCACTCTCGGTATCTGGATCCATCTCCAGTGAATTCCTCTGCAGCTCCTGCCAGACATATGGGATCAATCAGGGCTTCGGCGCTGGTGCGCTTGCTGCGGGAATGTTGACAGCCTGACAGACGCGGGGTTCTGGTGTCATGGAATCTCCGAGTCTTTGGCCTGATCCCGGGAGGAGAATGAGAGGGGGAGGAGAGAGATAGAGGCAGAGATAGAGGACGGAGAGAGGAGAGGGGAGCGGGAGAGACAGAGAGAGGAGGAAGAGAGGGAGAAGGAGGGACGCGGGAGATTTTTCTTGACTGCCCCCTTTCCTTCAAACATTTTATAGGCTTCGGGGAGAGAGGGAGGAGGAGAGAGGGAAGAAAAAGGGCGAGAGCGCGGGGGGTAGAGCGCGCGCGCCTTTCCCTGCGAGCCCCGGAGCCGCGGGAGTCCGCTCGTGTCCCAGGCTGGGCCAGGAGGGCGCCGAGGCTCCGACCGCCGCCCCGCGCCCGCGCCGCGCACTCCCCTCCGCGAGCCGGGCGGCCGAGCGTGTCTCCGCGCCGGGGCCGACGCCTGCGCTCCGGGCCGGCCGCTCCGTCTCCAGCGCGATGTGGCCGCGCCTGGCCTTTTGCTGCTGGGGTCTGGCGCTCGTTTCGGGCTGGGCGACCTTTCAGCAGATGTCCCCGTCGCGCAATTTCAGCTTCCGCCTCTTCCCCGAGACCGCGCCCGGAGCCCCGGGGCGGCTGCCCGCGCCGCCCGCGCCGCCCGCGCCGCCCGCGCCCGGCGAGGACGCGGCGGAGAGCAAAGTGGAGCGGCTGGGCCAGGCGTTCCGGCGGCGCGTGCGGCTGCTGCGCGAGCTCAGCGAGCGCCTGGAGCTCGTCTTCCTGGTGGACGAGTCGTCCAGCGTGGGCCAAGCCAACTTCCTCAGCGAGCTCAAGTTCGTCCGCAAGCTGCTGTCCGACTTCCCCGTGGTGCCCACGGCCACGCGCGTGGCCATCGTGACCTTCTCGTCCAAGAACAACGTGGTGCCGCGCGTCGATTACATCTCCCACCGCCGCGCGCACCAGCACAAGTGCGCGCTGCTCAGCCGCGAGATCCCGGCCATCACCTACCGCGGCGGCGGCACCTACACCAAGGGCGCCTTCCAGCAAGCCGCGGTAAGGCGCCCGCCCCTCGCGGCTCCGGCCCTCGTCCCCCGGCCCTGCCCATCCTTTGCTGCGGGCTCACCTCCAACCCGGGGTTCACCCTCGGGCAAGCCGCAGCCTGCCCACGTCAAGTCCCAGTGCACAGAATCAGAGTCTTACCTACCTTCCTATTGTTGAGGGTCGCGGCGGGTGATGGATTTTAACCGCTTAGCGAGATGGCAGGCTCCTCACAGCGGTCTCCTCTGAGGGCCGTCTTAGGAAGGGGTCCTTAAGAGGCGGTCCACGTTCACACGTGTAGGGACAGGCCGTGTCCGAGCTGGAACAGGTGAGTGAGTGTGCGTTATGAAGTGTCTCTAAAGGTAAGACGTAGAGCGAACTGAGGAGTTCCTCAATTCCTTTTTGTGTTATTGTATGCTTTTGATACGCATTTCACTGCATGCGTTTCTTATTTTTACTGAGACCTTTATAGGATTTTTAGCATCTAGAAGAGGAAGCCCGTTTTAGAGGATGGACTTTTACATAATTTAACTTTTTCTGATTACCAAGTAACACATATTCAGTGGAAGAAAATTTGGAATACACAGAAATGTCTGACACATACCAGCATGCCAGTATTTGTGGAATGAATGAAACAGGAAGGAGGAAAAGGGGGGGACTATGACCCCATCACCCTTAAAAAACCACTGTTTACATGTTGTTGAACAGTCGCTCAATATGCATATGTGCATACTTTTCACCCAAGTGGTGTCTTGCTGTTTTGTAGCCTACATTTTTCATTTGTTATATCAAAAATGATCTACACTAGTATATTATACATCTAATATAGCTATTGGATATCTACACTAGCTGCATACTATTCCATTGAATACATACACCGTCATTTAATTTACCTGTCACCTGTTATTGGACACTTAGGGTTTTTATTAACTAAGTTATGGTAAACACAAATATTTGTGCACCCTGTTGATTACTTCCTTAGGAAGAATTTCTAAGAGGTTCCTGATTTAAGAATATGAACATTTGTAAGCTTCTTGATACACATTGTCCAATTCTCCCTTGGAGGGTCATGCAAATTTACATTCCCACCAGCAGAGTATCACAGCAGTTAAGTTTGCCATATGGTCACCAATAACGTGTACTATTATTTTAAATATCTTTGCCAATTTCATAGTTGAATAGAGGTATCATTTCAGCAAATTCACATTTTTAGTTTTATTGAGGATGAATATTTTTCAGTACATTTACTGGGCATTTGTATTTTTCCTTTGATACTTACCTGGTCATAATTTTTGCCCATTTTGCACCGACAGTATATGTTAGTTTTTTTTCCTTATTGATTTGTAAAAGCTCTTTATATAGTAAGACTAGTAACTCCTATTTGTATGTGCTGCAAATGTTTTTCCAGGTCACTGCCTTTTACTTTTGTTTATTGCAGTGTTGCTATATGATGTAACATATTCAAATCTATTAAACATTGACCTTAAGATCCCATATTTGCTTATATTCTTAGAATGGCCTTTTCATTTCCCAAATTGGAGAAATGGTTTTCCATTTAACAGTATAATTCATCTGGAACTTATTTTAGTGTATGGTATGACGAAGATATCTATTTTATTTTTTAGTAAATAGTTAACAAGTTGTCCTCGTATCATTTGCTTGAAAGCTATCCATCCTTTTCCAATTTAATCGAATGCCACTTTTATCATCCACTAAATGCTTATGGGTATTTGATCTTCTGACTTTCTATTAATTTGTCTTATCTGTTTATTATTTTTAAGCTTTGCAAAAGCGATTTAATTATAACTTTACAATATATTTAAATATCTGGCAGTGCAAATTCTCCCTTTTTCTTATCCCTTTGAAATCAATTCTTATGTATTTATTACTTAATATGAATTTTTAATTCATTTTCACATATTTCAAATGAAAGCAACCAGGATTTTGATTTCAATAGAGAAAATATCAAATTAAATTGTGGATTACTTATATTTTATAATAATAGTTCTCCCTAAGTCAAAAATATGTCTATATATAACCAGTTCTTTCAGTAAAGTTGTAGATTTCTAGTAATTAAGTCCTGCATATAGTTCCAAATTTAGGCCTAACTATATTCTATTCAGTATTGCTACCATGAATAGCACCTTTTCAAATTCAATTGTAAACGGTTATTCTTATTGTACAGAAACATTGTTGATTTTCTGAATATATCTTCTGTATCTAGATTCTTGCCAAAGTCTATTTGATTCATTTTTTCTTTTTAAATACATTTTATTTTACTGATAATAAATGGTTTATAGAAAATAATCAGACAAATTGCCTGTAAATACACTGTAATATTGTGATATACACCTTTCTTGACTTTTTGCAGTTGTTTAAATAATAGATATGTTTTTGTGCATGCATAAACAGTGTTTGCCCAAAAGAGGATTATATTGTACATTCTCTTTTCTAACTTGACTTTCTTTTCCACCATATTTTCAGTCTTTTTCCATAATAAGAAATATACCTTTACTTTATCATTTTTCACAGTCATATAGTATTCCACTGTAGAATATGCCTTTATTTTATCATGTAAATACCCATTATTATATATTTAGGCTATTATAAACAACACCATGTGACTAAATTTTTCTTCATATCTTTAATAATTGCCTCAATGCAAATTTCTAAAGTGGCAGCTATTATTGCATCAAAGAGTATGCCCATTTTTTAAAGCCTTTGGTACATGTGCCAAGTTGTCCTGCAGAAAATCAGCACCAAATTGCACTCCTATGTGCAGTGCCTGGATCAGTACTTAGGATGCAGCCAACATAGCTTAGTGTCACTTGAACACCCCCCAGCCCCCCCACTTTATATGTGAAAAGTAGAGTCCCATTTGGAATTGCATTTCCTAGTGAGGCTGAACATTTTTTTCATATATTACTGACCATATATAGCTCTGCTTTTTTGGATATCCATTAAAATATTTTGGGATTATTATCCATTTTTTATTTGAGGGTGCTTCTTTTTCTTACTGATTAGCAAATGCTCTTTGCATTTTTTTTTTAAGATTTTATTTATTTATTTGAGAGAGAGAGTGAGAGAGCATGAGAGGGGAGAGGGTCAGAGGGAGAAGCAGACTCCCCGCTGAGCAGGGAGCCTGATGTGGGACTTGATCCAAGGACTCTGGGATCATGGCCTGAGCCAAAGGCAGTCACTTAACCACTGAGCCACCCAGGTGCCCTGTTCTTTGCTTCTTAATGGCATTAACCTTCCTGCTGCTAAGTATGAGGCAAGTAGTTTTTCTAGGTGTTTCTAAATTGCTTTCTGAATTTCTTCATGGTGACAACATCTAGCATTTTATCAATTGATTGAATCTATGTTTCTTTTCATTTGTGCTTTTTTCATTTCCTATGAAGTTTGAAAAGCTTTTGCCTCTAGGAGATGAAGTAACTCCTTAAAGATGCCCCCCTTTTATTGAACTGTTTTACCAGGCAGGGTTCAGTTTTGCAGATCCGGTTCTCTGTTGGCCCCCATTCCAAGTACTCATGAGGTCCTAGGGCTGGCCTTATTCCTGATGTCACCACCCACTCCATCTGGAAGAACCCTGCTGCATCAGGGAAAAACTTGCCATATACCAGCTCCTCTGTTTGGATTGGCCAGGTTTGCCTGGGGCCTCTAAGTACGTTGATCCAAAACAGTTAAATGGGTAATGAATCGAGTACACACTGCTCGCCTCAAGACCTACTCTGTCTTCAGCTTTCTCCTTCCAAGTACTATATCCTGTCTTGGAAAGTGAAATTGCCAGCAAGGTTCCCCGTGCTGTTCTTCAGTCTGGATCCATTTGTAACCTAACAAGGCGAGACTTCTCAAAAGTTGGTGTTCTCATTTGGATTATGTGAAGGTGCAGGAGAGGGTCAGCTGGACCCAGTCCCTGGCTAACCTGGAAACTTACGTGTCTTTACGGAACCTCTGATGAGCATTCTTAGGTGTAATTAAAATATGGTATTGGGAGAAAATTGATAGAAGAGGAGTGATGTTTAAAAATGACATTAGTGGAAGTTTGCATATGGGTTTCTGCATGGGGATCAGGCAAGCCTATTTCACTGCAGAATTAGTTTGAAGATTGTAAGCTGTGTAGCTTGAGTTTGGATATGAAACTTAATACATTTCATCAGGGAAATGAGACAGTTCATCAGATTCCCATGTGTGTGCAGAATGGTATTATTGGAACGGACTGTGTTTGTGAGCTGGGAAATTGAAAATCACAGGGATATTTTTGAGGTTGTTAATTACTTTCCCCAGAAAAATTAGTTTTTCAAAACTTTTCCACTTGAAACGAATGTCCACACACTATACACAGGCACAAACACAGGCAGACAAATACACAAGGCACAATAACATAGACATAGATACGTGTTTGCAAGTCCATGACCACCCCTCACAATCCACACACCTTACTCCTCTTATGTAAAAAATCTCAAGATGTAGAATTTCCTTTGCCAGCATGAAATTTGCTGTTAGCTTTCAGCATATATGATTGACTAAACAAAAAAGATAACAGTGGGCTTTATTTTTTTATTCAGTGTCAGAATTGTACAGCTTGATGGGGAGTATATCACACTTTATTTCAATGGATAAACTGCACTGTAGATCTTTTCTTTTTAGACATTATCCGCCAGCGCTCATCAAAGAGTGCAAAGACTAAAGCGGTGAATCTGTAGTTAGCGCAGGTCCTTCCAGAAACACAGTCAGTAGAATGGGAGGAAGATTTAGCACCTTGAACTTACATGAAAACCTTTTACAAAATAAACAGAAAGCTCTTCAGATTTTCCTTTCCAAGGAGTGACTTTTTCATAACAACTTTTCTTCTTAGTTTTTCTCTCCACCATGTATTTATAAATTGCCTTTCCTAAACTGCATCTTTTAGATTGGCCACACTATGAATGCAAGGCTGTCCACCTCTTCAGCATTTCAAGTCGTTATACAAGCAGAGCCCCTCATTCCTACTTCACTTTTGCTAAATATCTATT